ATTGTTAAACATTCTCTGGCTCCAGCCTCTTAAAAATGCGAAATGTGAGTTTTTCTAAAACATTGGCACAGTGCGTCCTCCTATAACCTTTTAATGCTTCTTTTTTCTTTATGCCCATTTTTTATTTAAGCTGTCAAGATTGTTTTTTGTTGAGAATATTTAAATTTATTTGTAGTTGTGTTTGTCTTTGTTCGTTTATGTAGTATTAGAACTTCAAAATGAAAAAGCGCAACAATAAAGTGAAAAGTAAAATTGAAAATTGATTGAATTGGGACTTCCAGCGACTGCTTCCACGCAGGTGATCTGACTGATTTTCTAAGCTTCTTCACTCTGGTTCACACCTGCTGACAGAGCAGTTTTTTTTTTTTTACAGCACTGAGAAATAATTGTTCCACCAGCGAGGGATAAAAAGGATTTCTTCCAGATACAAGGCTTCCTTCAGTGTTATCTGCTGTTAGTTTTTGAGCATTTGTTTGTGAATTCTTAGGAGTTTGGGATGAGACACAGCTTCCTTTCACAGCCTCCGAGCTGCCGATGATGTTGGTGTGAAGTATCATCAAGTGGAGCTGGTTTGGCAAGCTGAGGCCCATCACACAGCGAGGATGGAAATGTCTGCGTGATGAATGATTTTGAGCGTATTGAGCTCACACGTGTGACTGAGCTGATTGAGAGCTTGGGAGGATTGACGGGCAGATTGAATACTGGACTGTGAGACTGAACATTGAATGCAGTGACCATGAGCAGACTCTATCACCACTTTTTCCTGCAGATCCACTTGTGAGCTTATCCCCATGTTCAGTTTTTTTCATGGTCTGGAAGCAGCATTTTGACTGCAAGATTTTTAGTCCAATTTTTACAACTTCATACAGCATAAAAGTAAAAATCATTCAAACTATTTAAATATCCAGTGAGATCCAGTCATAACAATAATAATAAGAGTTTGCCTGCATAGATGTGAACTTTTAAGCTCCAAAACGCGCAGCTGGAATCTTATAATTCCATGCTGACAATATGTGGAATCAATTCCCTAATTAACTACCTAAATGGTTCAACCAATCACCATCAGTGTCAATTAAAAGTCAAAGCGATCTCCCCCAGATTCCACTGCCGTGATTAGCAGGCTACATGATGGGCAATTACAGTGAGGAATACCCAATATTCAATGCAAGCCCTATTACAATTATACAAAGCCTTCAGATTTCATAGTGAGAGAATGAAACAAGGAGCGAGATGGGAGGAGGAGGAGGAGGGAGAAAGAGCAACAAAGAGGAGAGGAGATGAAAGGGTATTTCTTCAGGAGGAGGAGGAGGAGGAGACCTACAGTGTTGGATTCGTTCAGATTTAACAAAGGCGTGGGGAGCTTCAAGATTGTTTTCTCTCTCGTTTTTTTCCCTTAAAGGGAAAATCCACTGTCAAACAGGAGCTACACATCAATGGCGAGTGACAGACTTTTAACTCCAATCTGACTGATTGTCATGGTTTCTACTGAAGGTGTGTGTCGTCTTTTAAGCCTGTAAAATTCATTGTACAATTTGAGAAAAATAGGTCCTTTTGAAAGTAACTCTCTCTCCCCATTGTGGTTTTCTTCCTCCAGTGGAGGTGTACTCCTGCTTATAATCTCAGTCCAAGAGTCCATTCTAACGTTTATTAGCACTGAAAAGTCAGCGACATCAAAGTAGCTTTCCAGAGCTGTTGGGAGAAGACTCTGGTTAAGAGCAGCAGCATCATGTGCTGCACTGGCTCCACTCCCAACCAAATACATTTCATTATGTTTTCTTTGGCATGGACCACAGAGGAAAGGTTGAATTTTTTGTATTGTTTCTATTTGACTAGTTTAAGGGTTCAGTGTGCTTGAAATAAACTGGTTCGTACAAGTCGACCATGTTTAAAGGCAAAAGTGCGTATACTCAGAGACACTGCTGTCGAATCCTTCTCTGACTGTATTCTTCCACGATTTCTCTTCAAGAAATCCGTCTTTCACAACTCTTTGTAGTCTCAACACAATGGATTGTACAAATGGGGTTAACAGTGCACACTTTCAGACAGTCGTTCCTCCAAAGCTTTATTTATATATTATTTATATATTAACCGTGATGGAGGTAGTACAAAGACTTGCTTGAGAGAGAAGTTCAAACCCTGCCCACTTTCACCCCTCCACATACCTGCCCAACAGCTGCGTGAAGTGGCTGTCGCAGCCTCCCCAGTGTGATGTATATGACTGTTTTCTAAGGTTATGGTTTGGTTGGGTTTAGGCATAAAAAATACTTGGTTAAGTTTAGTGAAAGAAAGAAAGTTGGCATCATGAAAGAATCCAACGAGAAATGAACAGCGGCCTCCAGTGTCAAAATCTCACAGGTCATCAACAGGAATATTTGTTGTTTAGCTAAACCTGCTAATTAAACACACAACAAATCAAGGTACTTCATCACATTGAAGCAAAGATCCAATATAATATAAAACACTGGCATAATACACCTAGAGATAATGATAAAGAGATAAAAAAGATAGCTACCATGGTATGTACAGTATTGCATATATCGCCCAAACCTACATAAACACGGGCTGTTTTAGGCTTTTGAGCAGGAGCACAGTCTCAAAAGAGCGCAACTGAGTGAACTTGTTAGTGCTCTTTTTCTCTGAGGACATCTAAAGGAAATATTGACTCCAAGCTGGAGTCCAGACTTTGCTTTATTATGCCAGACCATGAAAATGCAATTATAAGTCAAGGAGTGTCTTTTAGTTTCCATTCCCACCTTCCGCTACAGGTAAAGCTCTAATCAGATTTCAACTCATCACCAGCTTTTTTAAACAGCTCTTTCTTACACGTTGCTGTGGTTTTTGTTTTTTTTCTGTACAAGCCCAATTTCCCATCATTACCAACGGACAGCAGTGGCATGATGGAGTGGTGGAGGCGGCGGGGGTTACATGTGTAGACACCCTGAGCTTGCTGTTGAGCCCTGAGCAGCTCCACTCCACCAGCGGGGGGTTAAGTACCTTGCTCCAGGGCCCTTCCACGGTGGCTGCTGAGGGACAGCAGTGTGTGTCGCTTTCCTCGCTCACATTCTCCCCGCTGGAATACGGATTCAAAACAGCAACACGGTTGCCAAGTTATTGTTCTCCCACTATAATACATATTTGAGATGGAGAGGCTGACTGTATATACTCTACTTCCTGCAGTCCTCCTCACTATTTTAGCACTATGTGAAACAGTTCAAAATTATATTCAATACAGTATTTATCCACCAGGTAAATCCTGTGGTGTCGATCATGTCTTTAATATCATTAAACATGGATATGTTATATATTTTATTGTTTTGATCCAGAAGGGCTTGTTGATGATCACCTTATATGAAATTAGTGAATTTAAATTTTGGATATAAGAGCTACATAAATGCAGCCTAAACTGGGAGCTGACCAGTACAACCAGTGTCCAAGCTGACAAGTTGTTCTTAATTTTCATAAAGCTCCTCCATTATTTTCCATATGTTTAATTTCTGTACATATCAATTTTGTATTAAATTCCAAGAAATAGACTTAATTTTGACTTCTTTCGGCTGACAGCCTCTCAGTTGTCTTTTAAACCTCCAACATCTTTTGGCCTCCTGTGTGTTAAAAGCCTTTCTTTCCGACTGTCTGCTGCCTTTCTAATTTAATGGACTGAAATGTAAGGCACTGCAGTATATACTACAGTATGGATTAGAGCTGCAACTGACAATTATTTTCATTACAGATTATAGCCCGAACCAAGCTGACATTTTGAGGCAGACGTATCTATATTTGGAGTTAAAAAAATATCTGATTACAATATATGGCCCAATATTTTTTTTTCAAATGCGTAACATAAACATAACAATCTTGACACAGGTCCCTTATTGTGATGAAGATATGTACTGAACAGAACATTTTATAGCTGAAAAATCAACAGCTCTCTGGTAGACAAACTATGTAAAGGTGAGACTATTAAATAAATTACATTACCTCAAACCTTGTTACTTATTGGTTGATACCCTGATACCGATAAATCTGCAATATATATCACAGCCAGGGCGATTTATCGGCCTAGCTCTAATCTACAGATTAGTTGTTTATTTTTTCTTTTAACAAATTAACTGTTTGGCCCATAAAATATCAGAAAAAAAGGAATGCCATTCACAAGGTGATGCCTTCAAATGTCCTGGTATGTCCAAACGACAGTCTAAAGCCCAAAGATATTCAACTTACTGGGATACTGAAGATTTTGCATTGGCCTGCAAATGACAGCAGCAGGCAAGACTGAGCTACAGACCACCACAGCACAATGCTCACCTTTCATGTAGTGAAATTACTCCACATCCCTGTGGGCTGTGGAAGGCCAATCAAGTTTTAGCACTTCAAAACTAAACAGCTCCATTGCTTGACTACAGAGATGCACAATCAACACACATTAAGGCTCCAGTGACATCCCAAAAGCATCACAACCCAACTTCGTCATGCGTCCATGACCAACTCCGGTAAGCAGCACATTGTCCAAAAATGCCTGATTTTTAAGATCTTCACGTTCACACTGCCTGATTTGTTCCTACCGCACCGCTGCTCACCGCGTCACCGCTCTGCCACATAGCCTAACCCGGTGCGGTCTCACATTCAAATCAAACATTCCTTAATGACACAGTAAACGCCGGTGCCGCGCTGCTTGTTGGTGTGTGTGTGTGTGTGTGTGTGTGTGTGTGTGTGTGTGTGTAGACTACGTGTGCACGCTGAGCCTCCCGGTTCGTCTCAAGCAACAACGGCAGCTTTACGGTGACAAAGAAAGACGGTTTGGCTCGATCTCTCCGGGACTCACTTTGGCTGCCTCTAAATCTCAAAATAAAAAAAATAAAAAAAACACGCAATGTTGCCTCCAAAGCGGGGATGCCATGTACGTCCACCCCCTTTAACACCTTCCAGAATTAAACACACACATTGAAAACAAACAAACCCACAATGGTAATAAAGCAGGAATAAAAGTGCGCAGGACTTGCCATGGTTGTTCAAGCTCCCAGTCTCTGAAAAAGTCGAATTCAAAGAGATCCATTGCTGCTTCGGCCGCTGCTGCCGCTAAAATCCAAAGCTGGTGCTACGTGGTTCTACATGGGCTACTGATACTGAGTGTGTGAGTGTGTGACAGAGAGAGGGAGAGTAGACACAAGCGGCTGCCGCTGCCAGGAGGCTGCTACGTGGTCGAGGCAAGCTGACAGGCAGGCAGAGGTGGAGGGAGGGAGGGAGGGAGAGGGCGCGCGCGCACTCACGCACACACTGAAGAAGGCTGTGGAAGACAAGCCACACTGACATATTCACTGCAAACATTTCCCTTCATAACAAGTACAGCTATTCATACTTAAGGGGTCATACAAAAATAAATGTGCGCCCCCCACAAAGAAAATTGTGTCACTTAATGTGAAACAGTGACTTTACAGTGTCTTCTAAAAAGTGCACTTGTTGCCTGTACTTGTCAGAGTATTCAGGAAACCACCTTACACTAATGACTATTGCTATATCTGTAATCTGTTTCTTTTTATTCTTTTAGGCTTTCTTTTGGTTGCTTATTTATATACACACTATTATAAAAGCTAAGTTCAACAGTTTGCTGTACACTGCATTTCCTTGTACATTTATCTACAGTGACAATAAAGCATTATCTCACAAAAGTGAGAATACCTCTCACATATTTGTAAATATTTGATTATATCTTTTCATGTGACAACACTGAAGAAATGACACTTTGCAACAATGTAAAGTAGTGTGTACAGCTTGTATAACAGTGTAAATTTGCTGTCCCCTCAAAATAACACATCACACAGCCAACGCTGGCAACAAAAGTGAGTACACCCCTAAGTGAAAATGTCCAAATTAAGCCCAATGTGTCAATATTTTGTGTGGCCACCATTATTTTCCAGCACTGCCTTAACCCTCTTGGGCAATAGTTCACCAGAGCTTCACAGGCTGCCACTGGAGTCCTCTTCCACTTCTCCATGACAACATCACAGAGCTGGTGGATGTCAGAGACCTTGCGTTCCTCCACCTTCCGATTGAGGACGCCCCACAGATGCTCAATAGGGTGTAGGTCTGGAGACATGCTTGGCCAGTCCATCACCTTTACCCTCAGCTTCTTTAGCGAGGCAGTGGTCGTCTTGGAGGTGTGTTTGGGGTCGTTATGTTGGAATACTGCCCTGCGGCTCAGTCTCTGAAGGGAGGGGATCATGCTCTGCTTCAGTATGTCACAGTACATGTTGGCATTCATGATTCCTTCAATGAACTGTAGCTCCCCAGTGCCGGCAGCACTCATGCAGCCCCAGACCAGGACACTCCCACCACCATGCTTGACTGTAGGCAAGACACACTTGTCTTTGTACTCCTCAGCTGGCTGCTGCCACACACGCTTGACACCATCTGAACCAAATAAGTTTATCTTGGTCTCATCAGACCACAGGACATGGTTCCAGTAATCCAGGTCCTTAGTCTGCTTGTCTTCAGAAAACTGTTTGCGGGCTTTCTTGTGCATTATCTTTAGAAGAGGCTTCCTTCTGGGATGACAGCCATGCAAACCAGTTTGATGCAGTGTGTGGCGTATGGTCTGAGCACTGACAGGCTGACCCCCCACACCTTCAACCTCTGCAGCAATGCTGGCAGCACTCATACGCCTGTTTCCCAAAGACAACCTCTGGATATGACGTATGACGTTGAGCATGCGCATTCAACTTCTTAGGTCAAACATGGCGAGGCGTTCTGAGTGGAACTTGTCCTGTTGAACCGCTGTATGGTCTTGGCCACCGCGCTGCAGCTCAGTTTCAGGGTCTGGGCAATCTTCTTATAGCCTAGGCCATCTTTATGCAGAGCAACCATTCTTTTTTTTCAGATCCTCAGAGAGTTCTTTGCCATGAGGCGCCATATTGAACTTCTAGTGACCAGTATGAGGGAGTGTGAGAGCGATAACACCAAATTTAACACACCTGCTCCCCATTCACACCTGAGACCTTGTAACACTAATGAGTCACATGACACCGGGGAGGGAAAATGGCTAATTGGGCCCTGTTTACACTGTTATATAAGCTGTACACTCACTACTTTACATTGTAGCAAAGTGTCATTTCTTCAGTGTTGTCACATGAAAAGATACAAAGAAATAAACAAATGTGAAGGGTGTACTCACTTTTGTGAGATACTGTATCTATCTGACATGCCATTCTCTGACTGTTAAGAGATCATCTCTCACTTACTGTACGTTCTTATGCATCAGAGAATTTCCCATCTAACAGTCCTGAAAGGTGATTTCTGTGCACCTATTCAGACTCTACAAAGTGTGTAAGTGCACTTGCTCACTGAGCTGTGAGGGTTATTTGCTCAGTTACAGGTTCTGTATTCATGTTTGTATGGTGAAGGGCACCGCGCAGGGCGGCTTGATCTTTTTTCTGAACCTAATCAAGTAGTTTTGGTGCCTAAACCGAACCAAACCATGACATTTCACAACATTAACCACTGGTTTTAGTTTGAAATTCTAACTGGACGTTGGATATTTATTATTGCTAATTTGACAGTGAAGCCCTACATGTGCAAAACTAAAGCTAAAGGGGTACCCAGGCCATTAAAAAACGACACCAAAGGGTCTTGACCAAGCGTCCATAAGTTAGTGAGAATGTGTACATGTTGTTTCAGGATTTCTTTCATAAAGAAAAAAGTATGTACAATGTAAGTTTTTTGGAAGAAGCTAGCTCAGCATTCTCAGTTTGGATATCATGGCAGGGGCTGCAAACAGACTGAAGGCCTCAACAGCCTATATAAGAGGCCAAGGAAGCTAAGAAGAGAAACCAAGAGTGACCAAGTAAAAGGCTGCCAGATGTGGCGAGAGCTTTGTGAAATTAAAGGCTGTGAGACAGAAGCTGAGCTGGCAGGCTTTCTGTTGGACTAGTAAGTGATATTGCTATGATTTGTGCTGTCGCACTTCCTTGATGTTTTGCTGTGTTAGCAAAGTTGGTGACTTGCTAGTTTTTGACTGTAAGTAATGTATTCATAACAAATGCAGTTGTACAGCTGTCCTTAGAAAACGGTGAATTACACTCTGAAATGGTAGGTCTTACATAATTTTGCTTTAAACCAGCAAAGTCTGCAGAGGTCTGTAACCTGCTGTGCGCTCATTCCTTTTGACAGATTATGCTGTTGTTTGTATATCCTCAAGTCTATGTGCTGTCACGTCTTTCCCTTGTAATCTGCCATCGGTGATCGGTGATTAATTTCTCTGAGCATTTGATTTGTTTTCAGTACATGCACCTGACACTGCTTATCTGTTTAAACCATACTGTCAGTTGAACGGTGAGAATAACTGAGCATGCACACTGAGGAAAGCTCTTCTGGATTACAAATCAATGATACTGCAAACGTAGAAATGCAAAAAAAAAAAGAAAAAAGACCAGTGTAGCTCCAGTTGGGCAGCGTTGCAACGTTGTCTGTTCAGTCCAGTAAAGTTCAGAAGCTCTACTCCACTGTGTGGTTATTCTCTGCTTTCCCCATTGCTGACTGCTGTGCAGCACCGGGGCTAAATATAGGATTGGATGTCCAAACAACTACTCCTCTGTATCTTCCAAACTTTAGCCTCCTGAACAGCGGCGAGTGAGATCTATGTTTTGCCTCTTCCATCCATTTGGTATAAAGCGATATGTTAGCGTGTGCAATTTCCTGTTGCTTCCATTACAGGACTCCATGGTTTGCACACAGTTGCCCCTGTAATTTGGTGCCACTAGCGCAAAGTTCAGTGAAATAAGCTAATGCAGAGAGGCATCAAAGCAGCAGGCTCGGTCAGGCAAATATTCCCCAAAATATGTTGCACTACACTGTTGTTAATCCAGGTGTCCCTCCCTCAACTGTACTTGTCACCCACTTTTGACCCGACCACATCACCTTTGTTTGGGATCAACTAGATCAAGTAGCAACGTGCTAATAACTGTTCAGCAGCCCATCCTCCTCACTCTCTATCAGACACTTGCTGCAACACATGCCCAGCGGCACGTTGTCCTGTTTACGCCTTGCTATGAATAATGATTGACCAGATGGTTGAACCTTCTCACACAGCATGTGCTGTAGCTGTGGTTCCTTTGTGACATCACTGTCCTCTCCTTTAAAAAGTCCTCCCACGCAAAAGCCTGCGTGTTTTTACTCGTGATGAGAGAACGAGAGAAGTCCAAATGTATCGGAAGTAATATTTGAAGATATACTGTGTGTGTGTGTGTGTCTTTGTTTTGGATGGTGTGCCTCTGTGTGCATGTGTGTGTGTGTGTAAGTATTTTGGTCTGGTCTGGGGCAACATGCCAGCACTGCTCTGCATCACACTACCCCAAGTACAAACAGCAGCCTCACATGAAGAGGAGAGAAGAGAAGAGAGTTAAACATGGTGCATGATGGGAATAAAACACTGCCAGCCATAAGCAGAATTGTCTGAAAGTGCTGTTTCATGACCTTGATCAATTCCAGCCATTTCAACCTCACAAATCAAAATTCCAGACATCTCCAGACCTTAAAAACACCACATCGAAATTCAACCAATTTTCAAGGTCTTAAGCACCTGCGGGAACAGTGGTTGTGTGTGTGTGTGTGTGTGTGTGTGTAAGAAAGGCTGTCCAAAACTAGGTCAGACACTGTGAGACAGAGAAAGACTGGAGAGAGGGAGAGGAAAGGATAGAAAGATATGGCAGAATTTTAAAAAGCAATTGTAGGGTGACTTGATGGAGAGTCAGATGACAACAAAAAAAAGATAGAGACATTAAGATAAAATGTAATTAAGGGCAAACATACAGAGAGCTACATAAATCCAATTCCAACTCATTACACAGTCTCTGCTGCGACCAGAGTAGCTGTTTGTTTAGAGATTTTCCATTTTCTTCGTTAGTGTCTTTCGCAGTATTGTTAAAGCCACAGCTGTGCCAGTAATTTATATTTAAATGATAACACGAAGAGTTACAGTCTCACACACAGACACAGAGCCCAAAAGAAATACAAACTGATAAAATAGTCAGGAAGTTCTCAGATTTGAGCTCATTATACTTGCTGTGTATCTTGCAGAAGTTGAGAAGTGCATGTCATGAATTTTCAATATGTGCCCTGGCTTTCTCTGGCCCCCACCCCGCTCACTCTAACGTGTTCAAGCAGCAGCGCATCAACACAGTACCACAGCTCCCCCATGTGGCTAACAATAAG